AAGCCTTTAAATTTTAGACCAAAATTACTTTAAATTATCTTTGGCAAAATACTATAACGATTAATTTACAACCGATTTTTTAGAACTCGTTAAGCAACAAAATATATTTCATCAATCTCAGTTCGGATTCAGACAGAAAACGTCAATTGACACTATTCCTTCTCTAGGAGAAGAAATTTGATTTGATTGGAACAACCGAAGCATTGAAAATCAGTGTATTTTTCATGATTTAAGAAAGACGTTTGATACTGTTGATCACAAGCTTCTCTTTAAAAAAATGTTATGATAACGGTATAAAAGGACCAGCATATGATTTTCTAGTTTCATACTTGACAAAACGTATTAGTTTGTAAGCATCAACAAAATTCAATCGCAAGGTAAAAAAAAATTTCAGTGAGGAGTCCCGCATCGCTCAACTTCTCAAATAAATTGAACGCCGAAAATATATAGCAAAAGTTATTTTTCAAAAATCTTCATAAAAATCTGGAGTTCAAAGATCAAAATGGATTTGTTAATACAAAGCTTATTAACGCTGTGAAATCTTTTTCCAGCAGCGTAAGATTTTAAATAAACAGCAAATGAACCAGTTTACCAAATAAACGGGTCGACTTCGAAATCAAAATTTGAAAAGGTTGATCTCAACATTAACAGATTAACTAGAGTCTTAACTTTCAAAAAAAAGTTAATCATTATAACTGTTGCGGTAAAAACAAGAAAAAATAATGCAAAAGAGTTTCATTTAAACGAACTCATCAGATTCTCTCCAAAAATATTCGTTGTTAGGGGTTAATGTGAATTTGTGACTCTAAACAAAAAATCACATCCGACGAACCCTTCAAATTACATCATCACATCATAAAAAAGCAAAGAAGTTAGTGATCAATTTCAACTTCAAAAAACACCATAACTTTTTAATTGTTACTATAATTCGAAAACTCTACAATTGTTTCACAAATCTTTTCCGAAAAAAATTTTTTTTAGTATGATTTGCGAAATGACAAGGAATGAAGTTAACATCTTCTTTTTGATACGCAAATGATTGAAAAAATGTGAATGTTTTCTTATTTCAGATATTTATTTTTTTTGAGAAATCACAGAGGATTTTTTAAGCTATCCATAGATTCAGTTTTCTCCCAATGGAATAACCAAAAAAAGCGCAAAAAGCGTCAATATGAAAGTTTCAATCATTAATTGATCCTGTTAATACAAATGCGAGCAAAATTTCCGATGTAAATTTGTTTACAAATCTTGTTCGAGCTCGACTTATTTTATTATTGAGTTCAATTATGTTTTGATAATTGTTTCAATTTAGTGTTCGACAAGTGGTCGGCCATGTTACCAAAATTTGTTCGACTATTTTTTGATAATAGTTTCGACTATGTGTACAATTTGTATTCGACCTTGTGCTCGACTATGTTTTGACAGTATTTTAAAATCTTGCACTAGACCTTGCTGCTTAGGAGAAATACTAAAGTAAAACATTGCTGTAACTAATTGCATTCCATGAAAATGAAACAGCCTTATAGGGTTTTATATCGCAATACTTCAGGCAAATTTTGATCATATGGCCGCTTTCTAGCCGACATATCGTGACTCAAGCCTAAAACATGCGTGTTGGTGTATATATATATATTACAATTTTTTCAAGTATTTTGCTTAGTTCCGGGTTTCCTTGATCAAAATCAGAATAAATGATAATACAAACATTTTTTTTCAGGCAGAAATCGCCATAAAGTATGAAAACTGGGAGCCAGATCTCAAAGCATCCGAAGAGGCCCAGAGACTGGCAAAAAATTTCAATCAGGAGCATCCTACCAGTCGGCCGATTCATTTCATAATGCCCATAATCTGCAGAATCAAAAAGATTGGGTGGAAAAAAGGCAAATTACTTGCTAAAGATAGACGTTACGTGCAAAGATTGGCGCGAAATTCAGTTTTTCAAAAAAAATTTACAGATAAGAAGATATATATTTTTTTGTCAAATTACAAGCATGAATAAAAAAATGGATACATTCTTACCAAAATTGTTTATTCATAAATCAATACTGCGATTTGCAAAGATAAATTACATTGCTGAATAGATTTGAGCATTCAACAATGTAGAAGCAGAAAAAGTATTTGCGCAAAAATTTGACGGCACCAGCTCTTCTTTGAGATTAATGATTTGAGAATCTACAACTAAAATGCATATTAATCAATTTTTCAGGCCAACAAACATTTTTTGAAGAAAAAAACAGATTTTTCTATAGATTAAAATTCAAGGCTAACCAAAAAATAGATAATTTCAAAAATTATATAAAAATGTGTCAGTAAAGTTAATTAAGAACAATTTTGCAAAGATAAGAAAGTTGGTGAAATTTTTGGTTAAAGTTTTTAACTCTAAATTAAGTTAATTCATGTTTGCATCAATTTAATCAGTACTTGACAAACACCCAAGTTATAAATATTTTCTATTGATTTTTTGAAAATTTTGAACTTCTCCAAAATAGGAGTGGGTAGCTGTAGAACCGTTCATGGAAGGCGAGTACAAGAAATTCAATTCAAACAGCGGAGCTGTATTCCTGTCGTCAGAAGCACTTGCCGCGTTTTCTCACTTCACTTACATTGCTTCGGATTGCAAATTTGTCGTCTGCGATTTGCAAGGGGTTTGTAAACACAATTGTAAAAGATAAAAACCAATTTGTACTGATAAAAAAAGATCAAAAATCAGTTAGGTTCAATTTGAAAATTTGATTTGCTGGAAGCAATTTTTTTGAAATTTTTTTTCCAGTACTTGAACGTTGCCCCTCTGAAAAAAAATGTATAAAAGAGAAAATGCCTTCACTTTTTATCAGTTTTCAATGAAGCTCTTTTATCATTCATCATAATTATAGCCGAAGTAGTTCAAAGCTCTATTAGCTTTTTTTTCAAAATGAAGAGAAATAGTTCCAAACGTTTAGATCCGAGCCGACGATTACTACTATCTAACAGACCCAGCTATTTGCTCGCGTGATCAAAGTTACGGACCTACGGATATTGGAGTTACAGGTATTAACGCGTTTTTTGAACGCCACGAATGTACAAAAATATGCAAGAACTTTGACAAACCAGATATCAACATCAACTACGTTGTAAAAGGGTTGCAGCCTAAAACGAGCTCTACTTATACTTTCGAATTGTCAACGGCACAGAACACAGCCAATAGGGACTTCAGAAATCGAAAAGATCTGCCGGCCGTTTCCGAATAAAACTTCTTTTGGCTCCACGGATAAGATTGTAAATAAACCAAATGGAACTATCAAACTGGGCTATCAAAATTTGTTGAATAAAAAATCTATATTTTAGTATCAACTTCAACAAATAACCTGACAATGAGTTGAACTCTATGCCTTTTTAATTTACCTAGAATTTACATAATCTTTTTAAAATGAATTGAACAAGAAAAGGCTAATTTATTTCCTTTATGTTAAGATTGATTTGTCACATAATCAAGTGTACCAAATAGATAAAACCCTATAAAGCCAAAGGAACTGTTCCGATATAACATTGCCATCTGAAATCTGAATCTTAGGCAACAGTATTACAATCGTGCTGAAACTTTGTCGACCATCTGAATTTGTCGTCAAAATTTCCAGTTAAAAGTCAGTTAAAATGCGAAAAAAAAATCTTCAGAAAGAAACTTTTGTATGTTGCCACTGCTTGCACTGAAACGTATGACTGGTATTGCTTCATTGGGCAAGTTAAATTGAAATTTTTATACCTCGCTTTTGGCCAGTGATTGTGAGCCTTCGCCAAATTTGACAAATTCTCTACCGATATTGGTATAAAACTAAAATTTAATTCGTTTTTTTCCGACTATTTTGCTTCACAGAGATATTAACTGGCTTTAGGAAGTTAACTGTGGAAAGCTAAGTTTAATATTTTCATCCTCAATTTTCTACCGGTTGTTGTTGAGATAAAAACCGAGTTTTTTTAAATTTCAACCACCTTGGTAATTTAAATCTAATTTAGCTGTCGTCAACCGATCCAAATATGCTTGTTTGCCATTCAATTTTTGCAGTTGAAATGTTTTCAAGCTTAGGAAGTTATGTAAGATAAGATTTATAAAAAGACTAAGTAAGTTGCTTGAGTACAAGAGTTTGCTGGCAGAAAAAAAAACAACTTACAAACGTCATTCAGTTAATTGTACTAGAAAAGTCAAAGTCACTCGACAATTATTCAAACTGCTAATTTCAAATGTAACATCAATGAAACATGCAGTTAAAATAAATGCAACAAATCTACCTTAGGCTGTTTATTCTTAAAGTTTTTCCTAAGCTTTCTGGTTAATCATTAACTTAGTCAAAAAATGTGGTCTCAGAAGTTTATAGAGACTTTTAGTGAGATCCTGGTAAGCTAGTATTAAAAGATTGAGTTTAGAGAAATCGGAAGTTTTTGAAAACCCGCCGGGCGTATTACACGTCGAGGGCGTTGAAAGCGCTTGGTTCCCGACATAAAGTCAGTGACACTTTACTGCTAGGAAGAGATACTAGGTACTCCACTTGCCTAGCCGAACAATCTTTCAAACCAAAACCAATAACACCCGTACTCACTGACGGTAGTGAACTTGAAGCTTCAACCCCAATTTATTTTGTTCGGTCTGCAGCCCGCAAACTTCGATCGTTTTTTGAGAAAACTTCAGTCACAGAAAAATATACGTGTACGACCAACGTTGCTGGCGAGAATGAGTTCCGTTGCAAGTTAAAGTGCGAATTTAGTTTTTTTTTGTATTACTTTACAGGTAAAAAAAAAGAGACTAAAAAACGAAATTAAAAAAGAGTCACGAACAGTTCCTGGGTTTTTCCCCATTTCCCTAAACAAGAAGAAGGCCTAGAAGGATCTCGATGTTTTTGGCCGAGCTGAGGAAGGCGTATTCATATTTACGACTATTTCTGGACCGCAAATTTCCATAATCCTATTTTGGCAATCCAATTTGCGCCGTTATCCTTAATTTTACAAAGTGGTACATGAAGATGAAACGGGATTTTAAAAACATAATCAGCACTTGTGAAGACAATCGAACCTCGCGAATATGAGTCGAAGTTAAAGTTGAAGAATATGAGTCACAGGTGAACGAGGGGGAACGGTAGACGGGCTCTGATTTTTTTCAAGTCCAACATTCTCTCTTAATTTTCATACAAAACTTTTGATTCAAACATTCTAGGGTAAACAACCACGGATCCTGCTTCTAAACTCAAACAAAACTCGAGCTTCAGCCTTATGATCAAGTCTTAGTATTTCTGCCAAATGGACTAAAAACGGAATTTCTGGTTTATTTACTAGCGAATGAAACTTGGTTACTTAAATTACGAGTCAGTCAGTTAATGAAATAATGAAAAAATGTAGTAAAATAAAGCTCAAGTCGCAGTTTAGTTTAGTCATCGGACAAAATACACATTTTGTTCTGAACCAGCAAGATATGATATTTGGTCAGTTCGTCCTTGCACAGTCTGTATCGATTGTCATTCAGGGTAGACTTTTGGGCCAGAGTCATTTTGGGTTTGGGCACAATTCCCGACTCGTAGCAAAAGTTATCGGCTATATCCTGTGACACGAGAAGGAACGATGATGGAATAGCTGGGTAGAAGGGTCCCTTTTTTACCTGGTGGTTTTGCTTTCGGTTGTCCAACCATCGCTTGGCTACGATTTCTCGTTTCTCGTACACGTCATCACTTCGCTTATGCATTGTCGGAACCTCGTCTCGTTTCAGACTCTTAAAAGTTCGTCTTCCCGGCAAGCAGATATTTTCTGTAAACAAGTACCAAAGATGGTCTTTCATTATATAGGAGCAGTCCTTGAAAGTAGACTTGAATCTGATGACATTTGGCTTGCAAAAATCAACAATCGTTCCCAGAATGAGTTCCGTCAGCTTGTATTGGAACTCATTCGTGGAGCTCTCGCTGTCGGAATAACTGCCGTATGCATAGTCTGGAACTGAATCATGGTAGTCAGGATTTCCCTGCTTTGTGACGAACTTGTCGAAGTCGAAACTCTGATGGTAATCAAAGGAAGCCTGTTCCTGAAATGTTCGTCGGGTTCGCAGGAGCTCCGACTCGGTTTTTTGGGACGAAACGCTGAGTGCAGATAGAACAAAAACTCCACCGAATGTCAAAATCGTTAGAGATTCTAAACAAAAAGAACGCTGAAACTACATACTTCATTGTAAATATTTATGAAAACGCAAAATCATTACTCACGCATTATTAAAAACAACTTTTCAAGAAAAATTCAGTCAAGCAAATAAAAATGAAAAGCGAGGGGTAATTACTTCAGTTCATATCCCGCTTTTATTTTTCCGCATTTTTCCCAAATTAAGTTCGAAGTTTAAATTTCGAAAACACCGCCTGAAAGAAATATAATAATGGAACTTTTTTCGAGGAGAAACATCACTTTATTTCGACTACAATTAACATAAACAGATGCTCATCTCCTTTAAAAAATGTTTCCATAAAAAATGATGGTTTTTGATTATAGTTTTCTCGCAATCTAGAAAATCATTATCTCGACGGAGTTTAATTGCTGAAGTGTTTGAAATCTATAGAGCGCGGGGAAGGCTATGATATAAAAGTCTTATTTCAGAAACCCCCTTCTCCCAAGATTTGGGCTCTTTCGGCCTTTTTCGAGGCACCCACCTCTATCAGTATTTTATAGGCATTTTTTCCTCCCCCAACCCACCTGCAAAATTTTACAAGTAGATTTTTGTTCACATTGCTCGGAAAAAAAGAGCCATTTCGTGAAATCAAACTTAGAAAAGTCTTTCTAAAATGACTTCAAAATGGAACTTCTGAACTGCAACACAACATAACGTGAGCAAGTGAATTTCTAATAATATTTTTACAAGCAAATATTGCGAAAAGGGAAAAGAAGTCCGCTTTCATTCAAGCCAAAGTTTTCTCTGTCGAAATTAATTTTGCTTTATTATTCCCACTATGAAGCCTTTCAGTACAATTTAAGTCCTCCTCATAATAGTGATATCACAGCGTGGGATTGTTGTGAGTTGTTCATTTTGTTTAACCTATTGAACTTTAGCACACATTAGATACCTGCTAAAGATGTTTCATATCGACCATCGGTCGATCATTGGCCATTTTAATGCTGTTTTGGATTAGACATTAGTATTCATTCTTAACCACTTTATTCTTTTAATTCCTCAGTTAGTGTACATTATAGTACATATTCAGGGTTTAATATTAGAATAGTTTATTATGGCGCAGTCAAACGAATCGAGCCTGCGGGGAGTTCCTGCATTCTGGCCGAACCACACTATGGAACCACCACAATCCTGGACCCATTGGAGCGACCAATTTCAATTGGCCATCATAGCAAAGAAGAATCTCGACATCGACAATCTAAGCGGACAAGAGGTACCACAAAGTCAGATTTCAATCCTCGAACAGTCCACAGGAAGTGAGCCGGAAAATGAACGAGCCAGTCGGGAGGCAAGAAATAGAGCTACCATGAAGTCGTACGAAGCCGCTGAAGAGAAAAGGATATCCTATTAAAGAAAGAAATTCGGAGAGTTGAGACGTGCGGAAGCGGAAAAAAAGTTGATATCATTTCTTTTTTTAGCCCTCGGTAATGAAGGGAAAATGGTATTCTCTCAGAAAAGCCATAGAGTTAAAATGTTATCTATCTCTTTTAAAGAATTTTTGGATCTCCTGCATCTTGCTTTTAATAAACCTCCAAACGTCACACTTGAGAGATACAAACTCCAGAATCGAAAACAAAGAGAAAGGGAACCTTTCGAACATTTCTGGGGAGCATTGACGGATCTAGCTAGCACTTGTAGCTTCAGAAAATCCGATGAAGCAGAATGGATTAGAGACGTATTTATCAGCAATATGAGGAATAGCGAGTCAACCATCAACCCATCGGAATCTTTGAGCCAGGCCTTAATGGACGAAAAAGGCTTCTTTAACCACCAGAAATTAACTAATACGGCAAAACTGATCAACGGGTTAAGTTTTAAATCATTTCACGGAAACAATCATGTCAGAAAAGAACCAAACATGAATACCGAAAGAAGCAACTTATGCAAAAAATGAGAAAATCCTTTTACTAAGGGATATCTAAACGTTTATTCGGCCAGAGAGATAATTTGTAAAAAAAAACTGTAACTATAAAGGCCAGTTCAAATAGGGCATATGTAAATCAAATAACAAAGGAACATATGTAAATATTTTAAATGCCTCTGTCAATACCGAGAATT